ATTTCATCAAACAGTGCCAGAATATACATTCTTCTTATCAACACATGGAACATTCTTTAGGATAAACAATGTTAGAACACAAAACAAGCTCAACACATTTTTAAAAATTAAAAGCATATCAAATGTCTTCTCAGATCACAATGGGATAAAACTACAAGTCAATAACAAGAGGAACTTGGACACTGTACAAATACGTAGAAATTAAACAACATGCTCCTGAATGACCACTGAGTCAAGAAAGAAATTAAAGAAGAAATTTTTTAAAAGGCTTGAAACAAGTAAAAATGGAAACACACCATACAAAAACCTTTGGGATACAGCAAAAGCAGTGCTATGAGGGAAGTTTATAGTAATAAATACCTACATCAAAGAAGCAGAAAGATTTTAAATAGACGATCTAGTGATACATCTCAAGGAACTAAAAAAGTAAGAGCAAACCAAACCCAAAATTAGTAGAAGGAAAGAAATAATAAAGATCAGAGCAGAACTAAATGAAGTACAGACTAAAAACAAACAAAACCAATTAACACTACAATGAGATATTATCTTACTCTAGTTCGAATGGTTATTATGGGGCACAGTGGCTCACACCTATAATCTCAGCGCTTTTGGAGGTCAAGGCAGTAGGATCACCTGAGGTCAGGAGTGGAGACCAGTCTGGCCAGCTAAAAATACAAAATTTTTAGCTCTACTAAAAATACAAAAATTAGCCGGGCATGGTGGCACACATCTGTACTCCCAGATACTTGGGAGGCTGAGGCAGGAGGATCACTTCAACCCAGGAAGTGGAGGTTGCAGTGAGCCAAGACCACACCACTGCACTCCAGCCTGGACAACAGAGCAAGATTCCACCTCAAAAAAAAAAAAAAAAAAAAAAAAAGGTTATTGTTGAAAAGGCAAAAGCAATACATGCTGGCAAGAATGCAGAGACAAGGGAACTCACACACCGTTGGTGGGAATGTAAATTAGTACAGCCACTATGAAAAACAGTATGGCAATTTCTCAAAAAAACTAACAATAGAACTACCATACAATCCAGCAATCTCACTACTGGGTATTTATCCAAAGGAAAATAAATCAATATATCAAAGGAATACCTGCACTTGCATGTTAATTGCAGCACTATTCGCAGTAGCCAAGATATGAAATCAACTGAAGTATCTATCAATGGATGAGTGGACAAAGAAAATGTGGTATATACACAATGGAATGCTAGTCAGACATAAAGAATGAAATCACGTTTTGGGCCAGAACATAGATGGAGCTGAAGGTCCTTATGTTAAGTAAAATAAGACAGGCACAGAAACACAAATATCTTATGTTCTTGCTCATGTGTGGGAGCTAAAAAAGTTGATCTTTTGAAGGTAGAGAGCAGAGTGATAAATACCAGAGGCCCAGAAGGGTGTGTGGGTGAGAGTGGGGGAAGAAGAGAGGTTGGTTAATGTGTAGAAACGTGCAGTTAGCTAGACAATATAAGTTCTAATGTTCAACAGTAGAGTAGGATGACTATAGTTAACAATAATATATTTTATATTTCAAAGTAGCCAGAAGACAGGACCTGAAATGTTCTCAACACATAGAAATGATAAATACTTAAAGTGAGGGACACCCCAAATACACTGACTTGATCATTATAGATTTGATCCATGTAACAAAAAATATCACATGTACCCTATAAGTATGTAAAATATTATGTATCAATAAAAATCTATCACTTATTGATCTCTGCCTTCTGAGTTAAGTGGCTTTGTCCTGAATTTATAGTAGTACCCCATTATCCAAGGGGAACACATTTCAAGGCCCCCAGAAGATGCCTGAAATTATTGGTAGTACTGAACCCCATATATACTGTGTTTTTTCTATACATTCCTATGATAACGTTTAATTTATAAATTGGGCACAGTAAGCAATGAACAACAATAACTAGTAATAAAATAGGACAATTACAACAATATATTATAATAAAAGTACGTGCATGTAATTTCTCTCTCTCTTTCTCAAATTATCTTATTATACTGTACTATTTTTGGCCACAGTTGACCATGGGTAACTAAAGCCACGAAAACAAAACTGTGGCTAAGGGGGGACTACTGTATAAGTCTTTGAAATTGGGTAACTCGGTAATGTATTTACATATATGTTAAGCCTTTGATATATCATGTATCCCACTGGACTAGTAAAGGACATTTGTCTTCCAGAAAACCTCCTCCTTAAAGCCATCCTGCTTTCAGAACTACTGCAGCCGGATCAAATAGCATCTTTCACTGGTAACCTAGGCCAGTGAGACTGGTATGCATGGGTATGATGAGGTTGGGTGTGGGGTGTGGAACGGCACATATGGTTGGTGGCTGGTGCAGCTGGTGGTAATAATCCTTGTCCCTAAAGGTCAGTGAACCTTCCTTGGTATCCAGACGTGCCCTCCCTCACTTTACTTTCTTTGGTTACTTCTATGAATCCTGTACCTGCCCTACTATTTCAGCTTCTTTTTTTGAGAATTTACCAAGAACCAGTCTCTGTGCTCTGTCTTTTGTCCATTATCTCATTTTGTCCTCACCATTTTTTCAGATAGACGCTAGGGTAAAGAGGTTATACCACTTGCTCAAGATCATAGAGCTCACAGGGAGGGCTGAAGGCTTACCAGGGGGGCCGATGGCAGAACCAGAGCTTATAACCCCACGCTGTGTTTTCCCTCCCTCGGGGAGGAATGTAATGCCTGCAAATCATAGAGTTTGGCCATAAAGTGGTGAGCGAGAGGGAATCTCCTGCTCCCGTTCCTCCACGTCACCTATACTAGGACGTGGCTTTCTGGCACAAGGCGGGAGAGAGGAAGGGTGTCCAGAAACCTCGGCTTTACTGGGGCTCTTGCTAAGGCTCCTCAGCTCAGACGCGCTGCCTGCGAAGCTGCCCAGAAGCACAGGGTCTTTTCAGCGCCTCTCTGAGGAAGGTCAATGAAGTCCCCAGAACACTTTGCACTCTTAGTCACCATTTGATCTGTGGCCCTGGGTGAAGAGAAAATAGGGGAAAAAAAAAAAAAAAAAAAAAAAACAAGCTAACGAGAATAATGGGAGCATCTCGACAATCAGGAATAAAAGAGAAACAGAAATAAGCATACGAGATAGTCCTGGGCTGTGTATATTTACTTTTCAGCATGAGACAATGCTGTTCATGGGTGGCCCTTGGTGGAATGGTGGAGTTAAAGAGGCTGTAAGTTCTCTCTGCAGTATCCCCTCACACATGCCCTTACATATGTTTTCTGCATTAAGCACCATTTGCTCTCTCAGAACTTCAAGTGGCTATTTAAATAAATGAAAATCGGGATTGTTTCTCTCTCTCTCTCTCTCTCTCTTCAACTCTATGAAAGCTTCAAAATAATAAATAACAGTAACTGGCATTTATTGAATGATTAGTATGCGCTAAGCACTAGGATAAACATGCGCTATCTAATTCCATCTTCACAACTCTATTGTCCACATTTTACAGATGAAGAAACTGAATCTAGAATGTCTTGCCCTGGGGTGCAATCCTGTCATTTATATTGTTTATTTCTACTGATACGGAGGGTTTTGAAGGTGCATTTCCTCAAGCATAGGTGACAAATAACAGATGAGGGTCTGGTCATAGCTCTGCCACTTTGTACTTGTAGAATTTGGGTAAATTACTTTTCCCTTAATGACCTGATGCTCCGATCAGCACAACTAAGGAGTGATCCCCAAAGTCCAGTCTCTTTCCACGTCTCTGTTGATTCCAAAGTGTCTGCCTTGTTTTTAAGTAAAGGGTTTGAATATGTGATCTACACAGGGTGCTAGGGTCAGAAAGGAAGTTTCACTGCCACCCTGTCCTTCCCCCAGTTACTCGCTTTCCTTCCCAAGAAGGAACCACGGTTTCTGTTTCTTTGAGAGAAACTCTATGCATATACAAGTATAAGTATTGTTTCCTGTTTCCTTTTTTAACACAAATGGTAGCACAATTTATATGCTTTCTTCCCCTTGCTTTTTTCACTTAAGATTTTATCTTGAAGATTATTCCACTATAGAGAGTTTTTTCCCCATTATTTGAACGCATTATAATCTATTCCCATTGATAGAGATTTAGATTCTGTTCATCCTTCAGTTTGCACACAGGCAAGCACATTCTACAGTGTATCTAAAAATGGGGAGAGCATGAGAGGGTGTTAGGTGCAGGGTAAGAGAGGACAGCATCTTAGGTGATCTGATCTTAAAAATTCTCCAGCTGGGCGCAGTGGCTCACGCTTGTAATCCCAGCACTTTGGGAGGCCGAGGTGGGCAGATCATGAGATCAGGAGCTCAAGACCAGCCTGACCAACATAGTGAAACCTTGTCTTTACTAAAAATATAAAAATTAGGCGGGTGTGGTGGTGGGTGCCTGTAGTCCCAGCTACTCAGGAGGCTGAGGCAGGAGAATCGCTTGAATCCAGGAGGCAGAGGTTGCAGTGAGCCGAGATTGCACCACTGTACTCCAGCCTGGACAACAGAGCGAGACTCCATCTCAAAAAAAAAAAAAAATTCCCCAAGACAACCCTCCAGTTTTCACATAATGAGAATTGGCAGAAACTGAGGGAAGAACTGGGTGTGCAGGGAGTCTGGGATGTCGAAGGGAGGAAAAGTGAAAACACTGGGGATTGGCTCGAAGAGTTTGTGCAAGGAGGAATCAAGTGTCATCAAAAGGGGAGCTGGCAAACCAGGATGGGCTGTGGAATCAGGTCAGCAGCCAGGAGTGGGTTGCCAAGGTGACAAGGGTGAGAGTTAAGAAAATCAGAAGCGTACAAAAAAAGGTGGAAACCACAGGAGGCACCAAGGGTCACAAAAGTATAAATCCTGAGGGCAGCTCGAGGGATTTTCCCCCAAAGCATGACAGGTATCCCTCCCATGGCCTATGGGCTAACAGCCAGTCTTAATCCAGTGGACATGGGGCCCCCTGAACCCACTGTAGAGCCTCACACACCGCTTGTGGGGCTACAGCCTGTTTAAAGAAACGCTGACTAAGGCCCATAATCATCCGTGGAGATTTCCTGTGGGAGGCATCCTGGGCTTCTTGGATAAAAGTGACCTTTTACAGCCTTGGGATTCCAGCCACTGTGGAGGAAGGCAGAACTCTCCTTCAGGAAATGTCTGGACATGAACCCTGCAGAACATACAGGGGTCCTTCCCGTGCTGCGTTCCAGGACTCCAAGCACATAACTGTGGCATCGTGGAAGGAAGACCGGATTTGAATCAGAAGAGCTGGGCTTGAGACTGGCTGCTGCTTTCTGCAGCCATATCGCCTGGAAAGAATTCCTTCCCCCTCTAATCCTGCATTTCCTAAAAGCCAGAAATGTAGGCCTTCTGCTCTGTCTAGCCCATAGTGTTTGCATGAAAGTAGATTAAATAGGGCCGGGTGCGGTGGCTCACACCTGGAATCCCAGCACTTTGGCAGGCCAAGGCGGATGGATCGTGAGGTCAGGAGATCAAGATCATTCTAGCTAACATGGTGAAACACCGTCTCTACTAAAAGTACAAAATTAGCCGGATGTGGTGGTACACACCTGTAGTCCCAGCTACTTGAGAGGCTGAGGCAGGAGAATCACTTGAACCCGGGAGGTGGAGGTTGCAGTGAGCCAAGATCACGTCACTGCAATCCAGCCTGGGTGACAGAGCAAGACTTAGTCACAAAAAAAAAAAAAAAAAAAAAAAAAGAAAGTAAATGAAATAATAATTGTGAAAATGCTTTAGGAGCCATAAATTACCACACACAGGCCAGGTATTTGTGTCTTTGTTTATTTTCTTTATCCATCACCTGTGCTCTTTCCCCTGTCTCTGTACTTTGTTTCTCTGCTGTTCCACAGAAGGTTAATCTGCCTGGTATAACTTCCTCATGTAGTAACATGAGGAAGCACTGCTGCTTCACTTCCTTATCTAAATTCTGGCATATTTCAGGGTAAAAGAGGTGGGGCTAGAGGTAAAATTAGCAAAGCTGCAGAAGACAAAGATAGGACATAGGGTGAGAGGGCAAAGAGAGAGGCATTAACAAGCAAAAGAACAGAAGAGAAGAAATAAGGAAGACAAGTTAGAAGCGGAAAGGTGTGGGAAGGTCTGTCTTGCGTGGCTCCCCTGCCAGATCCCAGGGTGCAAGGGCTGAGGCTGGTGGCCTCAGAAGCTGCAGATCTGGCAGAAGCCCTCCCTGTTAGGTGGCCAAGTCACAGTCATCACAAGTGACCTCCAATACAAACTCTCTCAGGAAGTCTCCCTCCGTTTCACCATTTCTCTTTCTCTCTGCTCAGATAATGTAGCATTTTAAAGAGATAATGGGCTGGGTGTGGTGACTCATGCCTGTAATCCCAGCACTTTGGGAGGTCGAGGTGGGCGAATCATCAGAGGTCAGGAGTTCGAGACCAGCCTGACCAACATGGAGAAACCCCGTCTTTACTAAAAATACAAAATTAGCCGGGTGTGGTGGCACAAGCCTGTAATCTCAGCTACTCGGGAGGCAGGAGAATTGCTTGAACCTGGGAGGTGGAGGTTGTGGTAAGCTGAGATCATGCCATTGCACTCCAGCCTGGGCAACAAGAGCAAAACTCCATCTTACAAAAACAAAAGAAAACAAAAAAGAGATAATGGAAGTGGTCAGTCATGTGAATGATGAAACTAAGCTGCAATACTTCAGTTTATTGTTAATCCCAAAATCTTAAGATCACTAGATAATAAACTGCACAGTGTACAGAGTCACTTACAAATACTTATTGACAATATTCATGCAGACACATCTTTCACACATCTGGTGAGGATGTATGGAGAAATCCTTGTAAATAGGAAGAAATGTTTGAGGTGAGGCCTGGCAGCCCTAACAGTGGTGCAGCACAGTGTCCCCTTTATCCCTGCCCAGGGATCATCACTAAATGGAAATGGCTCAGCTTCTCAGGGAAGCAAACTAGCTAACTTCTCTTTTTCTGAAAGTGAAACAAATGTGCAACCAATGCATATGTTTATGGCAGCACTATTTACAATAGCAAAGACATGGAACCAACCCAAATGCCCACCAATGACAGAATGGATTAAAAAAATGTGGTACATATACACCATGGAGTACTATGCAATCATAAAAAAGGATGAGATCACGCCCTGTGCAGGGACATGGATGAATTTGGAAGCCATCAACTTAGCAAACTAACACAGGAACAGAAAACCAAACACTGCATGTTCTCACTCATAAGTGGGAGTTGGACAATGAGAACACATGCACACAAAGAGAAGAACAATACACACTGGGGCCTGTCATGTGTGGGGTGCAAGGGGAGGGAGAGCATTAGGACAAATACCTACTGCATGTGGGGCTTAAAACCTTTATGACAGATTGATAGGTGCAGCAAACCACCATGGCGCTCGTATACCTGTGTAACAAGCCTGCACACTCTGCACATATATCCTGGAACTTAAAGTAAAATTTTTTTAAAAAAATCTTAATAAACACAAAGATATGTAAAAAAAAAAAAAAGCAATCAAGCTATAACTTTTAAAGTTAGAAGAAGAAAGTATTATAAATTGACGGAAAGACTGTCACACTGATAATACAATGTGAAACAAAACAATGACAAGAGAGTGCTACTAACCTCAGGATGTTACGAAGTGTGTTGGACCACAATCAGATGCCCCATAGTCTTTCATATGTCAATTATGTGAACTCCATGCACCAATTATTTAAACAATTTTATAGTTCAGATGGTGAAATGAAAGAAAACATGTCAGATATCAAGCCTTCAAACTCTTTCCTGCTTTGTGGAGTAACTGACATGTATGAATTTCAGGATGATCAAGAAATCAAACCCAAAAGTCTGACTCCTTTTCATTCTCTCCTGAACCTCAGTATACAACGAAAACCTGATTTAGTGTTAGAAGGAGGAGAGAAAAACACACCAAGAAGCCTCCCAGTGGTTCTCAGCCTAGTCTGCACATAGAATCACTGAGACACCTTTCAAAAGCCTGATGCCCACACCATACCGAAAACCCATTACATCAAACTACCTGAGGGTACAGCTTCTGTGGAGGCTGACGCAGGAGGATTGCTTGAATCCAGTTCAAGGCTGAGTGAGCTATGATCACATCACTGCACTCTAGCCTCGGTGACAGAGCAAGACCCTGTTCTAAATATCAATAATCAATCAAACTCTTTAGGGGTAGAACCCAGGCCTCAATACTTTTTACAGTTTTCTATATGGCTCCAGGATGCTGAAGTTGAAACTCACTTCTGTAGATCCTGCCCACTTCTTGCCTCCCCTGAACCACACCAGATCATTCCCCGTCTTTTTCTCTATGCTCCTTCTTGGTGAATTTGAGAAGAATCAGAGGGAGTTGGATGCCAAGGGCTTGCCTAGCAGCTGCCAACTCTATCGCCAGAACACAGTAGCTTAAAAATCATCACCGAAGTCTTAAAAACCAGGGAGAGTCTAGCTAGGATATACTGAGCGAGGACTGTGATCATCATGCCTTCCGGAATAAGTCTGAATAAGAGAGACGCATACCAGGGTTTAATCTGCCTCTCCAGAAAAGCTTATTGCTGATAGAACAGCTTGGTGCTTTAAGCCAGTGGTCCTCAAACCTTAGCGTGGATTGGAAACACCTATAGGGCTTCTTAAAGCACAGATGGCTGAGCATAGTCTTATAGTTTGTAATGTAATAGGTCTGGGAGACAGGTCACTCACTCGGTTGCTCAGCCCGAAGTGCAGTGGTATGAACACGGCTTACCGAGGCCTGGCACTCCTGGGCTCAAGCAATCCTCCCACCTCAGCCCACCAAGCAGGTGGGACTACAGACGTGAACCACCACGTCTGGTTAATTTTTGTATTTTTTGCAGAGACAGGGAGTCTCACTTTGTTACCCAGGCTGGTCTCAAACTATTGGGTTCAAGTGATCCTCCTGCCTCAGCCTCCCAAAGTGCTGGGATTACAGGCATGAACCACCAAGTCCTGCCAGAATTTGCATTTTTAACAAGGAATCAGGTTGTGCCGATGCTGCTGGTCTGCAGTTCATACTGGCTGAAGTTGCTCAAACAATCTCATTTAGTTGTGTCTAACTATCAGTCATACCTGTTGTTCTCCACGTTTACTGTGCATCAGCATCACCTGGGAAGTTTTTAAGCCCTAACCAAATTAGTTATTTGAGGATATCTGGGGGTGTGGCCTGGGTAACAGTATTTCTTAAAAGCTTCCCAAATAACTCTGGTATGTATGTATGTTAGGTTGAGAATTACTGAGTTAAATCATAACTGAGTGGACTTTATTTTAATTTGCCATTGTTCATGAAGACAGTCCTCATTAGTTTTAAATGTGATTAGAGAAGACTACACAGAAGCCTTTGGGAACCAACTAATGGAGTATGCACCATTAGTTTAACTCTTGATCTCTTTTTAAAAATCAATTGTTCAGCATCTGTGGAATCTGATTGTGATATAGCCAGGGACAGAATGGGACTAAAATGAGAATAACCACACCAGACTCACCAGGACACAGCCTGGCTGTGAAAGGCTGATTATGTTTGCATAGAGAAGCTAACTTCAAGTGGATGGATGATACCACTTGGACACTGTTGCTCATGGTCCACGCTCAGTGGAGCTGCAACACCAATGCTCACAGACTATAGATGATGGTGCTGGGACACCATTACTCATGGACCACAGATGGTGGCACTTGGACACCATTACTCATGGACCGCAGACGGTGGCGCTGGGACACCATTACTCATGGACCGCAGGCGGTGGCGCTCGGACACCATTACTCATGGACCGCAGACAGTGGTGCTCGGACACTATTACTCAGGGACTGCAGACGGTGGTGCTGGGACACCATTATGCATAGACTGTAGACAGTGGTGCTGGGACACCATTGCTCATGGACCGCAGACGGTGGTGCTGGGACACCACTGCTCACGGACCACAGATGGTGGTGCTGGGACACCACTGCTCACGGACCACAGAGGGTGGTGCTGTGACACCATTATGCATGGACTGTAGATGGTGGCACTGGAATACCATTAGGCATGGACTGTAGACAGTGGCGCTGGGACACCATTGCTCATGGACTGTAGACGGTGGCGCTGGGA